AAAAAAAAAAAAAAAAAAAGTCTAACAGTAAAAGTCAAAGGAAGAATCCCGTGGGCCTACCCAAGAAGTGATGGTGCTCTGGTCTATCGGCTTGCTAGGCACCTGTCGAGTGAGAGTTAAAGGACGCTGTGGCGATTCATAGCGGTGTTTGGTGCCCTCCAGTGGTTGTTGACGGAATAGCAGCTGGGTTTTCTGGGAACGCTGGGGGCGTTTTTTTCTGGGAGGCATCAATAGGTAAATGAAGAGCAGTTAGCAACCACATGGTGGTGTTTGGCTTCTGGCTGGGAAAGAGGCTCCAATTTTAACCCATGCCTGTAGAGAACAAACAAAAGCTGGGCGAAAATAATTCAGATGGTTCCCCAGGGCTTCCTGAGCCTTTACCAGTCAATTCTACCACAAACTATCATTTCTACCGCAAGGTTGTGGGGAGCACAGCTTCCTATACCTACACCACCAAGCAAAAACAGTATTCATATTTAACAACATTCATTCAATTAATTTTTTTTTTTCTTGAGACAGTCTCGGTCTGTTGCTCTAGGCTAGAGTGCCTGTGCCATCAGCCTAGCTCACAGTAACTTCAAACCTGGGCTCAAGCAATCCCTCTTCCTAAGACTCCTGCCTGAGCCTCCAGTAGTACTGCTACAATGCTTAGCTCATTTTTCTATTTTTAGTAGAGATGGGATTTCACTCTTAACTCAGGTTGGTCTCAAACTCCTGAGCTCAAGGTATCCTCCCGCCTCAGCCTCCCACAGTAGTGGGAGTATAGGCACCAGCCAACAAGTCACAGCAACCTCAAACATCTAGGCTCAAGTAATCCTCCTGCTTCAGCCTCCCTGAGAGGACTACAGGAGCCCACCACAAAGCCAGCCTTGGGTGCTAAGAATTTAAAGACAGATACGCATTTATTCAACACTCATTAAATAAGCATCTATTCAACATTCATTAATTGAATGCCAAGCACTTGCAGTAATATAGCAGCACATGTCCTCAAGAAGCTGAGAATCTAGGACAGGGAGACAGATAATTACCTTACAAAATGAGAATACAATGTACTTCCATTTACCTCAGGGAGGCTTTCTGGAGAGTAAAATACCTGACTTAGTTTTGGAAAGGCTAGACCAAAGACAAAAGCAAGGAGTGCATTCCAGCCTGGGGAACGGCACAGAGACGTGAAGTAGTATTGTTAATTCTGGTAACTGCAAACTCAATATAGTTGGACACAGTATGAAAAGATGAATGGCAAAAACTGAGGTTGAACACAGTGTTACCACAAGGCAAAAAAAACCCAAGTAAGGCCATAAGAGTTTGAACTGAAGCCTGGGTACTCACTGAAAACTCAGGCAGAAGGATGTGATCGTACTTGGCTTTTTCCCTTCATTTTTCACATTAGATAATTTCAAACATACACAAAAGTGGACTGAATAACATAATGAGGCCCCCATGTCCTCATCATCTAGCTCCAATCCTGACCCATCTATACTCCTATCCACTTCCCCCACCCCTGGATTATTCTGAAGAAAATGTCTTCTTCGGCCAGGACCAGTGGCTCACACCTGTAATACTAACACTCTGGGAGACCAAGGCAGGTGGATTAAGGTCAGGAGTTTGAGACTAACCTGTGCAAGAGAGAGACCCCATCTCTACTAAAAACAGAAAAAATAGCGAGGCATTGTGGTGGGGACCTATAGTCCCAGCCGCTCAGGAGGCTGAAACAAAATCTCTTAAGCCCAAGAGTTTGAGGTTACTATGAGTTATGACACCACAACATTACCCAAGGCAACAAAGTGAGACTCTGTCTCAAAAACAAGTAAATAAAGGCTCGGAGCCCATAGCTCAGCAGCTAGGGCGCCAGCCACATACGCTAGAGCTGGCAGGTTCAAATCCAGCCCAGGCCAACTACAACCAAAAAATAGCCAGGCATTGTGGCAGACGCCTGTAGTTCCAGCTACTTGGGAGGCTGAGGCAAGAGACTCACTTGAGCCCAGAAGTTTGACGTTGCTGTGACCTGTGACACCATGGCACTCTACCAAGGGCAACATACTGAAACTCCGTCTCAAAATTTAAAAAAAAACAGTAAATAAAAAAAATATTTTTGAGACAGTCTCTCTTTGTCACCCTCAGTAGAGTGCTGTGTTGTCAAAGCTCACAGCAACCTCAAACTCTTGGGTTCAAGAGATTTTCTAGCCTCAGCCTCACAGCTAGCTGCGACTATAGGCGCCCACCACAATGCCAGGCAATTTTTAGAGACAGGGTCTC